TACATGTGTAGTCATCAATGTGGCTTGTTTGGAGCTTTAGTGCTGTTGGAAGGGTGAGATCGAAGAAGTATCTCAGTGCATGCCCTCTGTGTCTTACCCTCTGCTGAGAGCTTAGTGTTACTTGAGGATTCCTCACCTGTTAATTTGCATGTATAGGCAGCCTCATGTAGTGGAATTAATTGGCCTGGATTATTCAGTTTTATTAATTGAACTGTTCAAGCTTGGCTGGAGGGGGAGAGCTGCTAGGTTTTTTGTATGGAATAGTCACCTAGCAAGACAAGAGCTTCAGATTCTTTGGGTGGGAAAGTGCTGTGTAAATGCAGTACATTGTAATACCCTTTGGGATGTCTTTGTGAAGCCCAGTGAGTATCAATACTTAACTGTAAGCAGAGCTAGTATTAGTATTAAAGAGCTAAACCAGAACACAAGGAAGTTACTTAAGACTTGAAGCACCCCTAACTGCTGAGTGTTCAAAGGAGAAAGGTTGGTTCAACCCATTTAATGAAAGAACCAGCTTGCAAAGCATTTAGGAATTCTGCTTGAAGGATGCACAGAAGCAAATATGTTGGAGCCACAACAGTGATAAAACAAGCTTTTGACTTTGTGGGTCCTACTACTCAGAAACCTGAAACGAGCTGTCTGGTTTAGCAGCATGTTTGGGGTTTTTTGGTGTTATTCTGGACTCCACTAGCAGCAGGGAAACCACTTGAGTGGGAGCCTTAAGACACTGGGCGCAGTGGTACTGTGTGACGCTGATGCCAGAAGGGTGACTTGGGCCATTTCTCTGCCAGACAGACAAGGAGCAGAGGATTGCTCTTAGCAGAACCACAAAGCTGCAAATGCTGGAGGCTTTCTGAAGTTAGAAAATCAGAAAATTGGTGGAGCTAGTTACTAGGAAAGCCACTGAACTGCTACATGTTCTTTAATCTTCTGTTTAGTAAAAAGTGTGTTTAGAGAGGAGGGCAGAAGCCATGAATTCTTATCTTAATAAAATCATAGGTAGGTCCAGGTGGGCCTGCTGTGAAGGGCTTTCCTTGTCTACCCAATAAGGATTGTGTTTGCTCTGTCCGTATGATGGAAGGTGTGTAGGGTCAGGAGCTAAGCTCTCCCCACTGTTTGGATGGGGTGGGTGGGCTTTTAATTCAGATTGTAACACCCCACCTAAAGCAAGCTGGTGCTGACTACTCTTCACGTGTGGGATCCTGTACTAGGTGGCTGTAGATATGTTCTGGTAGAAAAAAATCTTGTTTGTTAGGAAAAGCAGAGTACGAAAACAGCAGAAAAACAAGCAGGGCAAAGTGAGGTTTCAATCATGCCCACAAATGAGGAGGAGGAAGCTACAAGAAAACCCTCTGTGACGAAGCAGCCCTTTTCCCCAGTCACGAATGGGTAATGCCACCCCCAGATCATCTGCTCCTCCGGGTGGGATTTGCTAGTGTAAGGGCCTGAATCTGTCTTGGTAACTCAGAAAAATTAAATGCCTGGCACAAAGTAGGATGGGGGTGACTGAGGACTCGCGTTGCCAGTTTAGGCACATTTTTATCTAGACAGGAGTTCAGCTGTTACAATTCTGAGCCACATTTGGATCCCCATCTCCAAGTCAAAAATGAGCCTACTTAAACTGTTGTTGATGGATTTGGATTCTTCTGTTGGATTTGTCTGAAAAAAGAATGTGTGCTAAGGGTGCTGCTGAGATCAGAGTCCTCTTGTGTAGATACCATTTGCAGTCCCACACTGGCATATGAGAGTAGAGCCTGCCCTTTCACGGGTGCACCACAGCTTCCCAGGTACATAGGATCAACTGATGCACAGACCCTGCCTCAAAGGACTCAAGTTCTCTTTTCTGTGGGCCACCCCGAATGAAACAAAAAACTTGAGTTTTAAGGGTAGTAGTGCTAAGATGTAACTTTGAGCATCTGTTCACACAGTAATTTCCTTTCTCTGAGCTTTAATAACCACATAAATTCTTTTTGTCTTCTCTTTTCTCCAGGTCAACAGACTATGGCACTACCTATGAAAAGCTAAATGACAAAGTAGGCCTGAAGACTGTGCTGAGCTACCTTTATGTCAGTCCCACTAACAAGAGGAAGGTAAGGGAGAGCTATCAAGCTGGTAGCTATAGAAACAAAATTACAGCATTTTGTTCGTTCTGAGAGGAATTGTGATCCTGAAGTGAAATCCGTTAGTAATTCATAAGGACTTGAATTTGCCAAGTTGCACTACTGCAATTCCATGGAATCCAGTAGAACTATGCCTATTTTATTTGTGATGGGGATGGAGCACTTACTCTTCTGCTGAATGTGTTAAGAGAAATAAAAAGGTTGTTTTTATTTGCTTCTGACTGTTATAACCTTAAAGAAGCTGAACTCACACAAATATTTCTGGGGCTCTTGCTTATACTGGCTTTGGCTAATACACCTCTCCCTGTCTTTTCTGTCTCCTTATTATTTGAATGCTGTGTAAAAGGCATTTATTTCTGCATTTGACTCTTTTCCCCTTTATGCTTTTCCTAGCTAGAAGCTGGAGGTAAAGATGTAAATGACATTTTCATTGGTTGCATCATGTAAGGGGGCTGCAAGCAGAATATGCCTGGGAGAGTGGGTGGGAGACCTACAATTTGATTTGAATGTGTAGGAGAGAAGATGAGGTCATAGCTTTCAAACCCCTTGCTCATGCTTCCCACATGATGCAATTAGGGCTGCAGCTGGCTCACAGAACACAGCCCAGGAGTTACTATTCAGTGCCTTTTTGGTTTAAAATTACTGCCTGTGTTGATTCAAGGGAGGTACTGGGACAGAGATGCTTTCAGCTACCCACACAAATCAACGTGGGAGGGCTGCAGCTCATATCCAATTGCTGGCAGTGGAGTTGTGTTTGGATGGGGTGCAGCTCATTTGGCTTGATCACTTCCAAACTGCCCATCTCCTGTCTCCATCCATAGGTTTCCAAACTAGTGTTTCGCTACTTGTGCTGTTCTTTTTACTAGTATTGTGTTTTCCACCACTGGTCAGTCTACAGAAGTGTTGGGATTGATGTTTATTTCAGTGTATGCAACCTTAAGGCAGTCATAGCTCTCATTACTATCAGCAGCAATACGTGTATGTTTGGATGAGAGGAAGAATGCAGTAGGTAAGGGTCGGCTTGTATTTTTTCTGATGCAGAAGCTGAATTATTGTGACAAATAACTTGACTTCTTTTTTTCCTGAGCAAAACGGAATGAAGATGTTTTGCAATGAGCTCTCCTGGCCTTGCACCCCTCCCATATCCAATATTGTAGGCACTGAAGAGTTAATTCTTCTTCATTCTGTTTCCAAAGCAACTCTGCCCACCCAAAATCAGAGGCAATATGCTCAGTTACAAATCCTACGTCACTGGTGTAAAGTCTCCCTCATAAATCAGAGTACTAGCACATACCATTATTTTCTAGCAATTTCTCAAGCTATCGAGCTTACAAATTAGCAGACTTTTCTCTCTCTTTATTAATAACACCTACATTTCATAATATAGTGGCATGCAGACCTGTCTTTACCTGCTGCTTTCTATTTCATATGACAATTTTGAACTTTTTTTCTGGTCTTATGTCTTAAAGAAATTATTTCTGGACCTATTTGTTTGTCTTCCCTCTTCTCCCTTGCGAAAAATCTTTTGAAATGGGTAGATGAGCTGTAAGGAAAAAAAAAATATATAGAAAACCATCTTAAGTGCTGGCTGCTGTGGGAACAACTTGTTTCTATTCTTTCTATCTCTATTAAATATGTGGGCACTGATATTGTGCATGGTTATAAACAGCTGGTTTATCTGAACCTAGAGCTGACTCTGCTTTGTTGACCATCAAAGTAATTCCAAACATCAATGCACCATTTGAAAAATGCCCAGAGACAGTGTCACTGGATTGGAGAATCTGGGATTTGTCACATTAAATTTCAGGTTTACTGTCCACGCAACCCTTACAGATTTACGAGGCTGTGCACTGCAAAAAATGCGCTTGCATTATCATCTTCTCCCAAGTCTCTCTGGGTGAATATTGTTATAGTGGTCTGCAGAGTAAGCAGCTTGGTTTTGCTGACATCCTGAGGACAACCACCAATAATGAATCACTAAGCAGTAGGTGGATCCTCAGAGACCTTATAGCAGCCTCCCAGTACCTAGAAAGGGGCCTATAAGAAATCTGGAGAGGGCTTTTTACAAGGACATGTAGTGACAGGACAGGAACAGCCTTAACCTGATAAAAGGGTAGACTCAGGTTAGATATTGGGAATAAATTCTTCCCTGTGAGGGTGGTGAGACACTGGCACAGGGTGTCCAGAGAAGCTGTGGCTGCCCCATCCCTGGCAGTGTTCAAGGCCAGGTTGGACACAGGGGCTTGGAGCAACCTGCCCTAGTGGAAGGTGTCCCTGCCCATGGCAGGGAGTTGTAACTGGATGAGCTTTAAGGTCCCTTCCCACTGAAACTATTCTATGATTCTATGATCCCTTGTTTTTCACCTCTAACAGCACAAGTGCTGGCTAATTGAACATAATGCAGTGATCTTTTGCAATCCTCGAAAATTGGTCTTTGAGGCAATAAACGAGGAGGGAGACACCAAAAGAACAGATGTGCACAGGGCCTGTGCACACACAGTGGATCATGCAGGCCCTTTCTAAGCAAGATATTTTCTCCTGAGGCATTAGCTCCCAGGTGCTGATCGGACCCTGCATGCCTCACAGCTCCTGTCGATTTTTGATAGGCTTACACACTGTTGCTAACCCTGTCTGCTCATTAGTGCTTAGAGGATTAGCAGTTACTTGGAGGAGGAGAAAAGCTTTCCATACATTCACTCCTAATTGATTTACTAGTGAGAAGGATAATTACCTCTCAGCTACCCTGCTGAAGTACAGTGGGAATTACCTGTCAGATTTCTTTGAAGACCCAAAATGCCTCTCTTCAGCTGTTAAATAAGAATTATGCATTCAGCCAAATGCCAGTTATATAAATATAATTTACCTGAATTGTGGCGTAACCCTTGGCTAAGTTATGAAACAAGAGGATTTAAATGCTTGGGGTTTTTTTTCTTTCTTCTTTTAAAAGAAAGGCTTTTTGTTTCTGATTTCTTTTTTGCAGAATTTTGGTGGGAATATTGTAAGTTTTTTGGCAGCTTCTGCTGTTGTTCTTTGCTTAGTGCTGTCAGGTCACAGCTGGACACTGATTTCTCAATACCAACATCTCTTATTGCATTATGGGGGACAAGGCCAAAGCTAAAATGCACAGCTGGATGTGCATGGCTACAACTCATGGTCTGGGCACCCCCACCATTCCCCTTCTCTCTTTGTCCCACGAAAGCTCACACCTCTTGCACATCTTACCCTCCTGACTTACGGCACTCCAACACCCTTTTCTTACAAACTGGATTCCTTTCTGGAAGAAAAATTAAGCTTAATGCAGGAATGATTTGGTGAAATTCTGGAACACATTATGTGTGGAAGTCCTAATGGCCTAATGGCTCTTTAGGTCTGGAAGTATTTAATTCTTTTTGGGTTTTATTCTGCTCCCAACAAAGTTAGTGTTTGAGCATCTGCTATGTAACATTGATAGCAAAAAGCAAGTCCATGCTTAGCTTCATGTACCACTGGCCTTCCTCTTTTAAGCTTGTTTAATTTGGGTTATGTATCTCATCAATTTTATTAGTTTCATGTTCTCTTTAGGGTTTCTTCTAAGCTGCTCCTGTGTGTGTCTCCCATCCCTAGCTGGAGAGCCGCAGCAGGGTGCTGGATATTACCCCGTCTGTATTTGGTGTCTTGTTGAGTACTGAAATGTCTTTCCTGACACAGCAGACTACGAAACGCTGGAGCATACTGGAAGCAGCTGGTCCCTCAGTTCTGCCCTTTGCTCCTCAGTGAAACACATCAATTACTAGGGTTTATCAGTGGGTAAAATCACCTTGGAGAGGTCATGTCTTTGTGACCAAAGAGGGAAGAAGCAGCTGAAATAGGAAGAGGTGAAGAAAGACAATCTCTGTTGTTACATGGTGATAAAACCCGGACAGCCCCCGTTCTTCTTGGGCACCTCTTGAGGTGCTGGAGTTTGGCACTTAGAGGCCAGATTTAATCTCTAGGTGTTCATTGTTTTTACACATTGCAGCTGGGAGATATCAACCCTCTGCATGTACAGAGTTAAACAAGGGACCAAGCTGCATGGCTAAGACTGAACTGAGGTGGCTTTGGCTGTGTCCCCACATGGTGCTGGGCAGAGGCTGCTGGCCCAATCTGCTGATGTCTGGTTTTGGAGCTGAGATAGTGATGTCCATTTCCTAGAAACCACAAGAAACCATTTGTAAAACATGCTTTATTGTTGTGTAATTTGAGGGTTTGTATTCATAAATAAATGAGTATAACAACAGGCAAATACCAAAGGAAGATGCTGAGAATACTTTTTCTCAGTTATGACTCCTCTTGCCTCTCACTGCTAGTGGTCAGGGCCAGCTTGGTGATCTGAGAGCACCCTTCATTTGAAATGAATCCACCCTGGAGTGCCAGCATATGGAAACAGGCAGGTAGGCTGCAGCCCATTGTGAACCTGTAGCCTCTGGCTTCACCTAAGCCAAAATGCTTCCTGCCATGAGCCAGGACTCTTTCCTCTTCCTGTGGACCAGTTGCATTACTAATTTCCTTCTCCTGAGCAGGAGGGTTTCTCCTAAGCAGCCCCGGGTTTCACAACATTTCACAACTGTGCCTACAGCCTCTGGTGCTGGGGGCTGAAACTGCCAGACTTGTATCCGCTTTCCTGAAGATGCTTGGGCTGTTTCTTCTTTCACTTGCACTCTAGGGACTTGTATTTGGATCAGGAAAATCTGCATTGAGTTCTCATTAATACTATGAATTTCCAGGTTATCATTAGACCTCGCAGTGTCCTGGGGGCTATGGCTTTCTTAAGAGTTACTGGTTTGAGCCCTAGTGAGAAGTCAAGTGCCTGCAGTTTTGACACTTCTTATCACCATGAAGATGGTCTAATAGGCAGAGTGTATTCCAGGGCACATATTCCCCTTCAGTGCACCTGCCCACATGGTTGTTTGCCTGAGAGACCACATAAGAAGCATCTGCTTTACCCTGTTCAA